GGGTCGAGTCCCAACGCGGGCCCCGAGTCTGTGCCTTGAACTCCTCCGTTGGGCATCCTGGATCCTTAGCAGCCCCAGGACGAGCTGCCCGCGCCCATCCCATCTCTCAGACACTCTCTGCAACCCCCCTGCGACCCCGATCACGTCCTGATCGTGCTCTTCCTCTCCCCCACTTTGTACCTAGGCAGGGGTGGCCCCTTAACCTGCCTCCACCAAGGCCTGCCCTGCCTTCCCCTCGCTGAGTTCCTGGTTCTCTCCACTCTGAACTTTATCCCACTTCCCTTCGTTCTGACTCCCCTCCTCATGGTGGTCCCTCTTCTCATCCTGCCCCGCTGCAAACCTGACTCATCCTCCTAACTCCCTAGTGGCCAGAACCCTCGCCCAGGGTGTGGAGGGACACAAAAACTACTGGCCACAGTCCCTGTCTTTCTGCCCAGGTTTCCCCCGTAAATCCTCCAGCCTGCTCACTAACCCCTGCCCGCCCTCTACCCCCAGATCAAGTCCCAGCAGAGCGAGGTGACCCGCATCCTGGATGGGAAGCGCATCCAGTACCAGCTAGTGGACATCTCCCAGGACAACGCCCTGCGGGATGAGATGCGAGCCTTGGCGGGCAACCCCAAGGCCACCCCACCCCAGATTGTCAACGGGGACCAGTACTGTGGGGTATGAACCCCGGGGGTTGGGAGTGGGGAAGTGTAGGACTTCTGCTGACTCAGAAGTCAGTCAGACCTGGGACAAAACACCAGCACTCAGGCTGACCATCTCTCCCCTCCCCTCGCCTAGGACTATGAGCTTTTCGTGGAGGCTGTGGAACAAAACACACTGCAGGAGTTCCTGAAACTGGCCTGAGCCCACTGGACTCCATCACCACGTCCCCCCGCAGCCACCGCCGGCCATGAAGGACCTTGTGACCAACTCCCTGTCATTCCTAGCCTTCCGACCTTAGAATCTCTCCCCGCAACCCAAGCCCTCCTCCTCCCCCTCTCTAATTTAGCCCCCTCTTCTCCATTCAAAGGCAACATTCCTTACCCACTAGTCTCAGAAATTGTCTTAAGCAACAGCCCAAGTGCTGGCTGTTGTCAGCCAGGCCCTGAGGCTGCCACCCTGCCTGGCACTGGCTGATGGGCACCTTTGTGGGTTCCATTAGCCAGGGCTCTGCCAAAGGCCCCGCATTCCTTGTCCCCTAGAGACAATTAAATGTCCCATTCCACTGACACCGTGTCTGTTTGATATGGCCTGAGTCCTTGGTCTGAGCAAGGCTGGTAGATGGGATTGTCTGAGGCCGTGGTCCCACGGGCAGGTCGGTCGGGCCGTCTCCTGTGTGGCACCTCTGTGTATGATTGCGCACGTATGTGGGTGTATGTCTGGCATATGCATAACTGTGTGGACCAGCGTTTCTCCAAACGGTGTGGGTGGGTCACTTCCTGATTCACATGCATGTGATAGTGTCCTGACACGCCCGGCTTGGTGAGTGTAGCACATCTGTATGCCTGTTGGTAATGTGACCGCGCCATGTGGCTGCCTGCCTGGGTTCCAGCATCCTGGCTAAGTATGGGCGTGTCATGGAAGTGGGTTCATGGCCGCAGTTCTGCCAGTTTGGGCACAGTGGCTTTGTGCAGAATGTTGGGGAAGTGGCCACATGTGCGTGTGGTTCTCTGTGTCTGTCCACAGGGACCTGCTCGCGGCACGCTTGCACATGAGGCCCTTCTGCACCAGCTGAGGCTGAGCTGGAGCCTGCCTTCCCTCCACTGGATCTGCTTAGCCCTTCTGGGGAGAAAGGAACCTAGAGGACAAAGACCCAGCAGCTAGGCCCGCCAGCTGGAGCTCGAGTTACCGAGGGGCGGGTCTGCACCGCCCCTTCCCCCCAGCCTTCTCTGGCGCCCAGCTGGGCTGCCCCCGCCAAGAGAGCCTTGTGTGCGCGGAGCAGCCAGTGTGGGAGCGGGCGCTTTATTTGGATCAGGGGCCAGGGCCTGGGGCAGGCGGTGGGGCCCGGCTAGCCCGAAGCAGCAGCGCTGCATTGGGCACCAAGCCTGCGGCCTGCAGCGTGACCGTGTCGTCGTGGTAGACCGTGGGTGGGAATGTACTGATGATCTCGAAGGTCGTGGCGTCCACGGCTCTGGGGACCGGGCAGAACTGATCAGGCCGTGTCCTGGGACCAGAGACCCCCCTCCCCGTAGCTGCCGGCCCCACACCATGCCCACCTGGCCTGTGCAAGCAGGGTGCGCACATCGCCAACAGTGTCCTCGGGCCGCATCATCAGCAAGAAGGCCTGCTCGCCATTCTCAGACTTGATGCGCAGCATGGAGAGCAGGGGTGCCTGTGACTCGGGGGACTCCTGGCTCCTGTGGACCTAGAGGCCATCAGTGCCCCCTGGTGGCCCAACCCCAAGGTCCTCACCTCTTCACCATGCCCTCACCTCTCACGCTCAGCAGCCAAGGCTGGTGTCTCCACCACAATCTCCTGGATCCGGGCAGGCAATGGGCAGCAGTTCTGGAAGGCATCGATGAAAGAGGACAGAGCCCTGGGCTCTGCTAGAGTCACACCCTTCCCCCCCATCCTTAGAGGGGACTTATTCCTTACCAGGGATGGATGAGACCAGTGAGCCAAAAGGGGAGGGGTGTTCTGTGTAAACTGGGGCCCAAGCAGAAGAAATGGAAGGGAAGCTTTGGAAGGCAACCCCATCATTCCCCTAAGAAGCCTTGAAGTCCCTCGGCATAGTGGGGGAGACAGAACCCCACACAATGACCAGCTTCCCAGGGGAAGCTTCCCAGGGGAAACCACCCCTGAGCAGTGACTAAGGATGAGGAGTCCATAGAAATGGAATGGGCACAGGGATGTTCCAGACAACATGGGCAGAGATCCCCTGGTCAGGGAAGGCTTCTCTGGAGGTGATATATTTGGGAAAGTGTCAGCAGTTCATGTGGCTAAAGCTGAGAATCAGGTTGGACTGGAAAAAAGAAAAGGTTAGAGGTGGGAAGAGGACCGACAAGGAGTGGTGGGCCTTGAGTGCCAGATAAGAGCTTGGCCTTACCCGAGAACCACTGAAGGGTTTCAACAGGGAAGGCCCAGATCCAACTTATGTTTTTACAGAAGCACAAGGACTGCTGGGGGAGGACAGTTGACAAGGCAGGAGGGGAGGTGGCAGGCCAGTGAGAGGCCACTGCAGGTATCTGAGAGGGCTACTCTGGAGCCTCGACTAGCATGGCGGGCAGAGGGAACAGAGAGAAGACGTGGATTCTGGCAATGTGCGGTGAAGGAGGCAGTGTGGTGGGAAACTGAGGTTTGTTACTTTCACGGGTGGAGACAGGGGAGGAGCCGCGGGATGGGGAGTGAGGAAGGAGGAGGATGTTTCTGAGGGCCAGGAAGGGGTATCCAGGACTGAACTGGATAGTCTGGTCTGGACCTCGAGGGGGTGGCGTGGGCCCTGGGCTCACCCCTGGCCTAGACTCTGGCTCTCCCCTTCTTACAGCCATACTGCCACGGAGACAGCCCATCTCTGGATGCAGCCCTCCCCAGACTGTTTTCAGGAGACAGTGGAACTGCCTTGAGAGCCTCATTTCTCCCTCCAGGCCCCCTTCAGCAGCCCTCGAGCCTGAGTCTCCAGACAAGCCACTGCTCTGGTAGGTTGGGCCAGGGAGCCCAAGATGGCTTGGGGGAGCTAGGGCTGGCCTCACCTGCAGGGTGTCCCGGATGGGGCCCCGGATGTCAATCACCTCGCCTCTCCGGATCACAAACTTGGGGAGCCTGTTCAGAAACTTCTCAGCAGTCATCCTGGAGCCTGCAGGGAGTGCATTGGGAGCCTTGGCCTGGGGAGGGACTGGGAGTGACGGGTGATGGTGGAGGAGGCCACCTGGAGCCTGTCCCACACAGTGGCCCTGCCGCCTGGCTCGGCCTCAGGGCCAAGCTCACCTGGGGGCTCCATCCTGTCCATGGGCTTGCGAATCCTCTGCCAGCCCACCACGCGGCCCTCACCTGGGAACAGTTCCAGCCTATTCTCCGGGTAGACCTGATTGCGCAGATCACTGACCTGGCAAGAAAGAAGGGTGAAAGTGGTGGGCCTCGACCTTCAGCCCTGGGCTCCACCCCCACCCTTGCTCGCCCAGAGCACGCCCTCCCACCCCCCCACCCCCCGGAACAGGCTCGAGGGACGGTCTGGTGCAATCCCCATTTTACGGATGAAGAAACTGAGGCCCCAAGAGAGCTGCAGTTCATGCTGCTCTCACCTACCTGGGCTCAGCTCCTCCTGCAAGCACCCCTCGCCATGCCGGCTAGAGCCACTGTACTGCCATCCTCCCCAGACAGCCCCTCTCAGGAGCCAGCCAGGAAGCAAGGGACCAGGGTGTTAGCAGAGGGCAGAGCCCGCCTTGGCAGGCACTACCTCCAACACCTCCAGTCGTGACTCACACGGTTTTCCAAGCCCGGGGGGTGGTGGTGGCACACACGCCCTCGTGCACCCTTGCTGTGGCATGACGCACCGCCTTCCGGCTGCGGCTCAGGAGTTCCCCCCACTGCACCCCTCATCTCACCCCCGCCGGCAGGGGGATGGCTCATGCCGTGTCCTTCAGGCCCACATTTGTCCCCACGGCACTGCCTTCCGTACCCATCAGATGGCTTCAGGAGCCCCTGGGGCAAGTCAGGCCACTTTTTTTTTTTTTTTTAATTTTTTTTTTTCAACATTTATTTTTGGGACAGAGAGAGACAGAGCATGAATGGGGGAGGGGCAGAGAGAGAGGGAGACACAGAATCGGAAACAGGCTCCAGGCTCCGAGCCATCAGCCCAGAGCCTGACGCGGGGCTCGAACTCACGGACCGCGAGATCATGACCTGGCTGAAGTCGGACGCTTAACCGACTGCGCCACCCAGGCGCCCCTAGTCAGGCCACTTTTGCATGGAGTCTCAGGGACCCCAGGCTGTCAGGGTGTCCTGGGCGCTGGGCCTACAAGGCCGAAGGCTGTGCCTCCAGGGTGCCAGCAGGGGGCACTGCCTGCCGCTTAGCCACAGGCCGGTGCCCTTGCTAACCGGGCAACTGCAGCCCCTGCAGCCTCCCTGCCCTTCTTGGCTGGGCTTCAGGCTCACCCTCCTCCCCAGAGGTCATCAGAGACTGGGGTCCCCTTAGGTGGGGTAGTGGCTTCCCACCTCAGACTGGGTGATGCCTGAGGAAGCTGTTTGTCCCCACCCCCCCCCAAATCCCCACACAGGGTGGTTTGAGGAGCAGCCCATCACCTTAAAGGGGACCCCGTCAGGGTACAGTCGCTGGAGCTCTGAGGGGAAGAAGCCGTCCAGAATGTCTCGGAGGCAGCGCTGCGGCAGGGATCAGAAGAGTGAGGCCCGACTGGACCCGTGCGGCACCTACCGCTCTGCTTCCTGTCCAGACGGCGGGCCCCGGGCCCCGGGCTTACCCAGTGGGTCACACTCTGCACATATTCAGGGCCCCAGGACTTGGTGGGGGGGAGGGGTTGTTTCTGCAAGTTGCACGTGGGCTTGGGTACCTGTGGGGGGTGAGCTGGGCCCCCCACCACCAACTAATGGTGAGCAAGGGGAGGGGGCAAGGGCACCAGAGTGGCCTGTCTCCCCTCCCCACCCCTCCTACCTGTGTGGAGGGGTCATGGAAGGGCCGGAAGGGCCCATCGAACATCATGAGGCCATTCCGATAGAGCTTCAGTGGGATGGGCTCAAGGACATGGAGCCGTGCTCCCCCAGGCATTGGTGTCACCTGGGTGTCACCCTCTACCACCAGCTCACTGAGATCCTTCAGGCTGGCCAGGAGCCTGTCAAAGTCCACCTCGGGGGGCGCCAATGAGTCCCCTGGTAAAGAGGATAAACACCCATGAGCCTCTCTTCATGGCAGCTGTGTGCCCCAGCAGCCCTGGTTTCCATGGCCCCTTGCATGCTAAGCAGTGGCCTTCGCACCTCCTTAGGTGGCCACCTGGGGAGGAAGAAGGACAACTACCACTAGATAATAGCTGTCTTGTATTGAACACCCGCCGTATGCTAGAGGCTTAATGCCTATAATGCCACTGTCTCTTCATACCAACCCTATGCTGTAGGGGCTACAATCACCCCCATTCTTCAGATGAGGAAACCTCAGGTCAGGGGTTAATGGCTGCCTAGGGATGCATGGAGTAAGTGGCAGGAGCAGGATCTGATCCCAGCTCTGCCCGTGTCAGGCACGGGGTCAGCCACTGAAAAGCGCAATGCAGAGCTCCCAGCTCTGGATGAAGTCTGTCTGGGTTCAAATCCCAGCTCTGCGGCTTCCACCTGTGTGACCTTGGTCAAGTCATTCAATGCTGTGCACGACAGCATTCTCTCCTAGAAGGCTATGATAGTGTCTGCCTCCCAGGAAGGCTATGATAGTGTCTGCCTCCCAGGATGGCTACCGAGGTCCAGGAAGATGGCCAAGTGAGGGCCAGCTCGGAGCAAGCACTCTGTCCAGCTGGTTACTGTTACCAACCCCACCTTGCACAAACGGACCTCAGGCCGATCCAGAGGCTATGACGCAGCAGTCACTGATCTCCATTTTACACATGAGGAAACAGGCCCACGGAGATAAAAAATGACTTGCCCCAGGTCACTTGGCAAATTAGAGGAGGAACTGACTCTAGAGTCTGCTTTTCCCACCCATCGGCACCATCCGGATGGGGAGCCTGGGGTAGGGACACGTGGTTACTGGGGGGGATGTCAGGACAGCTGCTGGACAGAACAGATAGGGGACACACAACTATTTCCGGGGTCACACATCCCTTTGAGAAGCTGAAAGACACTTTGGCCTCCTCTTCTGAAAAATGTGTTGTGCACACAGGGGTGCATACGCTTCAGGGGGTGGTGGGGACAGCCACAACAGATGCCAGAGTGGAAAGGCTGGAGGGCAGGTGGGATGCTGGAGGGGGACAGGCCAGGAGCCTGTTCTTAGTCCTTAGTCCTTGACTAAGGGTCTTAGTCCCTAGTCGATCTGGCTCCCAATCTACTAGGGGTGTGACCCTACAAAACCTCAGTGACTTTCAGGGCCTTCTTGGACGCTATTTTCACCAGGACAGCCAGGCTGCGACAGGATGTGGGTCGGGACTCTGGGGACCGAATTCCTTTCCTCAGAGTGGTGCAATGGCTCTATAGGTGTGGTGGCTGTGCGGAGGAAGTACAGATGTGGGTGGCTCTGTTTCCTGTTGCCTCTGTGGCTGCTGAAATGGTAGGCCCCAGCTGGACTTCCCCCTCCCCTACATCTCCTAGGTTGCAGGGGCTGCACCGGCCCCCCACCTCCTCCTGGGGTCCCCTAGAGTTCCTGAGATTCCCAAGAAAAACTCACAGGACATTCTGGGCATTCCTGGTATGACTCAGAACAATATCAAGCCACTATTTTGCTTTAACAACAAACTACATTCAGAACACATTGGTGAGCCTAAAAATAACGCGAAAGCTCATCTCATCGAACTCCTGTCCCCACCCCTGTACTCTTACAGGTGGAGATAGTGAGGCCCAGAAAAGTCAGATGACTTGGCCCACGGAGATCACATCAAGCGGACCCAGGACCACTCAGATACGCTGGGGCCAAGGCTTTTTCAGAGAGCTGATGGGCACGGGATGGTCGGCAGTGGAAAGGGCTGGTGGAAGCCCAGGGGAGGATGCCAAGAAGCAACTAGAGGGAAAAGAGTTTGCTGAGGAAAATAGTGCTGGAGGCTCTCGGCCAGTGGGGCTAAGGCATGGAGAAGTGAAAGCCAGGTGGGCTGGGCACGTATGGGGTGCAGCAGCCCAGGGGGAGACAAGGGGCCCAGGAGATAGAACCACAGCACCAGGCGGACCTGGGCTGAGAGAATAAGGCAGGAATCCTGGCATGGCCACCACGCGGCCAGCCGGGAGTACGCAACAAGAAGCCGGGCCTCTTGCCAGGTCACATGGGGTGAGGCAGGTCAGAGGTCTAATGAGGCATTTCCTCTCTCTCTCTTCCTTGGGATGGGACAGAATAGGAACCTCTATCCCGCCCGCCCACAAGATCCAGCAGGAGGAATGGACTGTAAGGACGACTCGGTGTTTACTTTGTGCCTAGCACCTAGAGGCAGCTGTTACCACTCCCGTTTTACAGGTGAGGAAACTAAACCTTGGAAAGCGACCTGCTCCTGCTCCTGCAGCTTTCAGGGCCCAGGTGACTCTAAGCTTCTGTTCTCGGTGCCTCATGCAGGCTGCCTCTGCTCCCTGGGGTCCCTTTCTCAGGAGGGGTGTGGTTCAGGGAGAGATCATCTCTGAGGCCTCAGACAACTTTGGGAGCCCGTGATTCTATTAAAAAGAGGAGTTAGGCATGGAGACCAAGATCAAGCTCCTTGGCTCAACTCCTGAGACCCTCGAAGCCCGAGTACCCCAGCCTCCCCTCTGCCTGTTCCCCCATCACTCTCTGGAGCCACGGTGCCAGGATTACTGCTTCCAAGCTGTGTGATCCCTGAGCAAGTGGGCCTAGCTCTTTGGGTCTTGGCTTCCTCTTCTATAAAATGATAATAAAAGTCCTCACTTCACAGGTGGCTCTGAGGCTCACAGGAAGTGCCTGGCAGATGGTGGCTGTTGTCACTAACACCACACCCTCTTGCTCATCACTGGCTCAGTGTGCTCACTCACCATGCCCTCTGAGACACCTTGCCAGGAGCCCCTCCCCTGGAGACTAAGCCTCCCGAGTCCCTGGAGCCTGCGGGCCTTGGCACAGGCTGTTGTCCTTTTCCATTTGCTGGTCTTGCCAGCCACAATGGACACTCCTTGAATGCAGGCTAGAGCATCCAGCCCTAGTGGGTGCTCAGGAAGCACATTCTGGATCCATCCCTCCATCCCGCCAACATGTCCGGAGCGTCCAAGCTCTGCAAGGCCCTGAGAATCATGGGTATCCCCATACCCAGAGTCCTTCCCCCCTCAAGATCATACTTGAATGAAGGAGACAGGGTGACAGCAGGGACAATGGCACGTGGTAAGTGCCACCGTGGAGGCTGCGGAGCTCAGAGGAGGGCCAGACCCTGCCACTCTCAGCAGGTGAGTGGTGGGCCTGCCCTGGGCTGGCTCATCACCCCTGCAGGAAGGACACACGTGCTGCTGTGAATACCAACGTGGTGCCCCGGGGCCCCAGCAGGCCTGTCCCCACCACCTCCCCCAAAGGCTGAACCAGAAATAGACCCGCTATCTCCACACACCTGCAAGCCTGGCCCTGCTCTGGGGACCTGCATTCACTCTGCTCCTCAGGGGAACCAGTGGAAAGAAAACAAGGCCTCAGAGTCTGATCACTGCCAGGGGAGACCACAACCAATTCTCTGGCCCCCACGGTTGAGCATCATACTGCCTGTTCCCACCTCATCCGTGCTCTGCACGGTCCTGGCATGCCTGACTGTCTAGGCCTGGGCACCCAGGCACCCCCACCAATATGTGCGTGGGCCCAAGCCCTTGCCCACAGGCCAAGCACCGTGCTGGGCACTCTGGGGCCTGACAGGGGCCAAGCAGCCATGCTCGTGGTCACCGATCAGCCACCATGCAGCAGCCTGCAAGAACCCCCACGTGCATTGTGGCATTCGGTGCTCTCAGGGGCCCGGGCGTCACACACCATCTCCTCGCTCCACAGATGAGGACACGGACTCTGAGAGGTGAAGCAGTTTGCCCACACAGGTCCCCCACTCCTCAGCTGGAGCCTTTAACCCTGTCACCCCAATGCAGAGCCCCTTCCCACATGCTGGGCACAGTGCAGGTGGCACAGTCTTGGCCGCAGGCACTCGAGCAGGTACTCCATGAGGTTGGGTTTGAGCTAAGCTTCCAAAGAGGGGACAAAAGGGGCGCCTGGGTGGCGCAGTCGGTTAAGCGTCCGACTTCAGCCAGGTCACGATCTCGTGGTCCATGAGTTCGAGCCCCGTGTCAGGCTCTGGGCTGATGGCTCGGAGTCTGGAGCCTATTTCCGATTCTGTGTCTCCCTCTCTCTCTGCCCCTCCCCCGTTCATGCTCTGTCTCTCTCTGTCCCAAAAATAAATAAAAACGTTGAAAAAAAAAAAATTCAAAGAGGGGACAAAAGAGGACCAGGCACTTCAGGGGACACAGCACAGGCCTGACGGGGGGGCTAAGGGTGGGGAGGAGCCTAGCCTGCCTAGGGTCTAATCCAGGCCAGTTCCAGGGACTCAAGGGAGGCTCAGGGATGAGTGAAGACTGGAAACGGCACAGCTTCCGGGCAGGGGAGGGAAGAGGCTCCACCCAGGTGCAGGAGACTGGGGCTTGGGAGGAAGGGTGCTAGGGGACAGGCAGAGGCTGCAGGGGGAGCGGGGATGTAGGGGGATGGCAGGAAGTTGCTGGTGAAGGGTGGGAGAGTGAGCAGCTTCACGGGGGACAGGGAAGGAGGAGGAGGAGCTCAGAGAAGACTGAGATGAGTGAGAGCAGGGAGCTCAGAGGGGACAAGGGGGAGTGAGGAGCTCTCAGCCCTGAGGCTCAACACCTGGCCATGGGTTGTGACCAGAGTAGGACTGTCCCTTTCATGTCTCCGCATACCCCAAAGCACCTGGCATCCTATTTAATGCTCAATTTACCCGCGGGGAGGGTGGGAAGGGGTGAATGATCCAGCCTGAGGCCAAGTCCTTGCAAGGCTTCCCCTGTGCTGGGTCCCCTTAAAGGGCAGTGGACTGCCCTCCCCAAGGCAGGAGTCCTGCCTCTAGACTGGTTGGCCCAATACAGATGCCCTGGGCCACCCTCAACCGGTCTGCTGCCTGGAACCTGCGGGGAGTGGTATCCAACAGAGGGAGAGCCAGAGAAACGAGCCAGGGTATGGGGCCAGCAAAGGGCCGGTTTTGTGTACCCGAGGGCCCCGGGGGCAGAAGCAGCCTGGCACCTGGGGACAAAGCAGGGGGAGGAGAAGGAACGGACCAGGAGGAAAAGCTGCTGGAGATGAAGAGCATCTCGTTCATCTGGCAGAAGAGCTCAGCTGAGGCCCCTCCATGTTGAAGAATCAGGAAGCCAAAGGAAGGGGTGCTTGGGTGGCTCAGTCGGTTGAGTGTGTCTGACTCTTGATTTCAGCTATCATGATCTCAGTCGTGAGATCGAGCCCCATGTCAGGCTCTGCTCTGACAGTGTGGAGCCTGCTTGGGATTCTCTCTCTCTCTCTCTCTCTCTCTCTCTGCCCTTTCCCCATTCTGTCTCTCTCTTTCTCAAAATAAATAAATAAACATTTTAAAAATAAATAAAAAGAAAGCCAAAGGAAGAGGACACACAGATGGAGTTTTGGCAGAGGGTTTTCACAAGTTGCTTTGGCTGTGAGGCACTCAGCTTCAGAGCCGGCCTCTTGTGGGCATAAACAAACAACACAGAGCAGAGTGAAGTCAGCTCTGTTTCTGGCGGGAGAGGGTGGGAATCCACAGGGCCAGGTCTGGAAACCAGCTGGCTGGTCTGACCCCCAAAGGAGCAGCAAGGCCCCCACTGGCCAGGAGGAAGCCTGCCCTCCAGCCAGCAGGGACATGCGGGGGGCCCAGGGCATGGTGCTGGCAGGCCTCTGGCCCTGGACCCCAGAAACGCCCTTACAGCATCTGACAGTCACCTTCCAGGGCTCGGCCTCTCACCGCAGGAGGGGGTGTCCCAGGGTCATCCCCAATTCCTCCTGTCAGCTCCCTAACGCACAATCACCAAGGGCATGGATTCCACCCCCTAAATCTCTGCCCTGCCCTTCCTCGCCCTGCCCGCCAGGATCACCCTTCCACAGGACATCATCTCATTGTCTGCCTGGATGACTGTACCTACCTCCTAAATAGGCTCTCAGCCTTAAGTCTTGCCCTCTTCACTCAACAGTCAGAGACTTAAGTGCCTCCGTTTTCCCATCTATAAAATGGAACAAGCCCTGGCCCACGTCAAAGCTATTCACGAAAATGCTTTGCAAGCTCCACTTCCGATGGGAAGTGACGTGTTTAGTAGAACAAAGCAGTGAGGGAGCTGTGCCCTAAGATTTAGGGGGTCTGGCCAGGGCGCAGGCCTGAATGGGAGGCAGGACTCCCATGTTTTGAGTCTCATTCTTCACTCAGCAACAAGTCTGTCTTGAAATCAGGACAGTATTGTCATCTTCCAAACACTCCCCTCGGGAGCTATGCTCATCAGTGCTTCCATGAGGCTGCCACTGCCATCTGACTGTGCAGAACAATAAAACCCCCTACTTGTTGGGCTGATGATATGCAAGGTCAGTGCTAGGTGCTCTGCGTCTAACCCACTGACTCCTTCCAACTCTGCGGGGAAGGGTACACCATCATTTATTGATGGGGGACTGGAGGCTCAGAGAACAGAAGTCACGTGCCCAAGCCACACCTGGAACGGGTGATGGAATGAAGAGAAGGGCCCCGGGCTGACTGACTCCGGAGCCTGGAGAAGTGTACCTTCTGGGCAATCACCTCCATGCTTTGAAGAGAATGGACCCGGGCTTTCTATGGCCCCAAATCTATGGGGTGCAGCCCTCTAGATATTAGCAGTCAAGTTAAAAATAAAGACTGGTGGAATCTCACAGAAACAGGTCCCTTTCAATGGTCTGGCTAGAAGTGAAGCTAATAAAGGAGGTCCAAAGAGGGGACTGAGCCCTGGGACTGAGGGGCAGCTTCCAAAGCAGAGAAATCGTTTTTGAAAATCTTCTGGATGGACGACATTTTGTAAACTACGGAGTGGAGCCTGAGACAAAGCCTGGGGTCTTGTTACATCTTGTATCTCAGGGTCCCTGGGGCCTTCGAAAGATGAGCCAGGAGAGAGTTGGAGGCAAGACCAGAGGAAGAAAGTGGTGGCGGGTTAGGTGGTCAGTGATGGAGGCTGAGGCCTTTCCTCCCAGTTCTTGTGTCAGGAGCACGAATGGCATGGTCTCTGGACAGCTACTGGCCCAAAGGAAGGTGTTGTTGGAGAATTCCCTTTGTAGGAGGGGCCAGGGGCAGACACCCTACTCTACCTGGCTTCCAGAACTTCTTGGCTGTCATCCAGTCTGTGTTGCCATCCTCTGAGTCTGAGTTGTCTTCTGAGTCCTCCTGGTCCTCGGGCTCACCCACCCACTGCAGCCCGTAGTCACTGAGGAACCGCTATGCAAAGAGAAGGGAAAGGTCCCAGGGGGCACAGTCAGTTCAGCCCCTCGGGGAACAGGCAGCATCCGCCCAGGCCCCAGCCTCAGGCCTCGGCTCCCAGAGTCAACTGGGCAGAAGAGATGGGCCCCAGGGTCTTGGGAGCTTTATGGCTGTGACCTTGGGAAGCCACTTCACCTCCTAGAGCCTCGGGCTCTTCCTTGTAAAGCAGAGATGACAACGCCTGGCCCATAAGCTTGTGAGGACCCAGGACGGTAATTCAGGCCGAGTGCTTAAAGCAGGGTCTGGCATGGAGGGCCGCACGGAAGGTGGCCCTGATGGCAGCGGGGCACCCCATGCATCTGGCCTGAGCGGAGGAGCGGCAGGGACACGGGCTGCACAGGACTGAGGACGCGGTGAGCCACACGCAGCCTCTCTAGGGCCGGGCCTCACGTCCCCTCCACCACAGGAAAACTTCTGACTTGTCTACACTTCCTGTCACTGCTTCCTCAGCTCCTTCTCTCCTGAACCCACTCTACCCAGCCCCTTTCTCCACAACTGACTGGAACTGCGCGGGTGCGGCCACCAACAGCCTGCCTGGTGCCAAACCCAGCGGCCCTCTTCCGTCTTCATCTCTTGCAACACACATCACCCCTTCTTGGTTTCACATTCCCAGCCGTCTTCGCTTAGACATCTTGCCTCACTCAACACGAACTCATCCCCAACGGTCACGACTCCGGGTCCCCCCCCCCCCCCTGCCCCGCCTCCTAAACCTCTGAGCCTCCGGGTCTCAGTCAGTGGCAGCCCCTCCACCCAGGCCTCAGCCACGACCCTGAGAGGCCCGGGAGCGCCACCCGCAAAGCAGACTCAAATCCCTCCTCTCTGCCCCAGCTCCTCAGGTTAGTCCCGAGGAGGGAAACACGGGGCAGGGCCCCACGTGGGATATATGGGAGGGAGACCCAGACAGGCGGGCTCCCAGCCAGGTCCTGAGGGGCAGGCGCCTCTCTTACCTCCATCTCCCCCACCTGCCGCTGCAGCTGCAAGCACGTGGTCTCCAGCTGCTTCTGCCGCTGCAGGGTGACCTTGCCTTCAGGGAAAGATCAGGAAGGGTTCTGCCGCCCCAGCAAGGAGGCTGCCAGACCACCTCTGGCCTCGCCCGGCGTTCTGCCCTGAGGGTCATCTGGAGAAGCTGCCCCTTGAGAACTCGAGGGGTCCCCTGAAAACTCTCCCCCTGACCTTGAGGCGGGGATGCCTGGACTGACTCTCAGGAGACCGCCAGCCACCCCTCTCAGCCCCCCGACCGGGGGCTCCTGAGGGCACCATGTTCCCCGACATGGCGCACCCTATGCTCGGGGCTGGGCTATGTCTGCATTCAGGGGGACCCGGTCCCACATAGGAGGGCACTGCCCTGAGTGCGTCATTGCCTCTCTCCGGGCTCAGCTGTCCAGGCTTCACCAAAGGACTCAGCTTGATGCTCTTGGAGCCCTGATGTCCAGGAGCCACCGGCCCAAGGGAGGTCCCCCAGGAAGGCTGACCAGCCCACCGGGAGTGCCCCTTACCCTGGTGCTCCCGGAGGGTCTGCAACATTTCCTCCAGGGCCCGTATCTTCCGATCCTACAGCAACAAGACAAGGGGGAGCAGGCAGGCCTGGGGGTTCCCAGAGCACAAGAGAACCCATCTTCCAGATGGGAAGATCCAAACTTTTTGCCTCTGTGGGGCACCGGGGAGTTGAAAGACCCTGCCCCTGCCATCCTTTGGCACAGCCGCTGCTCCTATGCCTCAGATATCCTTGTGGTTCCACTGAAATGGAGATAGGCGTGGAGTGTGCCCAAGTGGCCCAGCGCTCAGCAGTCACTGCTGCCACGTGGTCCAAGGCTAGTGGCCTTACTCAGCTATAGAGAAGACCCTTAGCTTCTCTGCTCAGCTCCCGGGGACCCAGATCAGCCCCAGGCCATACCTGGCCCTTGAACTGGGAAGTTCAGTGGAAGAGATGGTCCTAGAACCCACCCACCCTGGCCTACTGTGGCAGTGAACTCACTGGCCTCCCCAGCCTGGGCCCCTCCACCCCTCAGACCAGACCCTGGGCCTACCCCCACCGCTGGGGGTCCCACCTTGGACAGCAGCTCATCAGTCTGAGCCTTCACTTGCTGTTCCAGGTCCCGCAACTTCCTCGACAGGGTGGCCACCAGCTCCGAGTCATGGAATACAGGGACTACCAAACAGACAAAGTCCTAGAGCTGAGGCTGAAGTGTGGGGGTCCAGTGGAGGGGGGACAGGGGTCCGCAGAAGCAGAAATAAGGGTGATACTAACAGCTGCCACTTAGATAATAGGGACTGTCCTACATACTTCACACATATCAGCTCATGCTGTCCTCACAATGTGCCCCTGAGGAAATGAACTGCTTTAGGAAACTGAGGCAGAGGTGCAGTGAGGTGTCCAATGAGTATGAGTGAGTGCTGTACCGTACAGGTCACATGACCAGTGAAGCATTTTCAGAAAGTCACCCTCAATCAAATGAAGCACCTACACCTTGCCACCCCCACCCCCACCCCCCATTTACAGGAACACAGCGGAGAGAGGAGCAAGTCCGCACCAATGACAAACAAGTACACAGACCCGCATGGCCTGGCTCCTCAGAGTCCGTGTCACTTTTTCAAAAGGCAAGGACTCTGTTCCACAGAGGTGTAACAGTCAAATGCAGTGCACAGCCCTGACCAGAACCTAGATCAGGAAAAACAATAGCTATGAGCTACTTCAGAACTTGGGAGATCTGAGCGCAGAAGCGGTGCTCCACAGCAGTCCTGAGTCCTGCGCATTCTTGGGTGCGGTCCCGGTCCCGGGGTCACATGAGTCCTTCTTTGTAGGAGATGCATGCTGAAGTTTTTAGAGGTGAAATGTCATGATATCTGAAATTGATTTCTAAGCGGTTCCTCAAAAAAAGACATTTACATTCATACATATGTGTATACGGACAGAGAGAAAACAAATCAGTGACCAAATATCACCAACTGTGGCATCTAGATAACAGACATTTATATGGGTGTGCACTGTACCATTATTTTAATTGCTTTGTAGGCTGCAAGTTCCTCAAAATTAGAAATTTGGGGAAAGAAAACAAGATGGCACAAAAACAGACACTCAGATCAATGGAACAGAATAGAAAACCCAGAAATGGACCCACACATGTAAGGCCAACTAATCTTTGACAAAGCAGGAAAGAATATCCTTGCTGAAGACAGTCTCTTCAGCAAGTGGTGCTGGGAAAACTGGACAGCGACATGCAGAAAAATGAACCTGGACCATTTTCTCACACCATACACAAAAATAAACTCAAAACGGATGAAAGACCTCAATGTAAGACAGGAAGCCATCAAAATCCTCGAGGAGAAAGCAGGCAAAAACCTCTTTGACCTCGGCCGCAGCAACTTCTTACCCCACACATCTGCGGAGGCAAGGGAAACAAAAGCAAAAGTGAACTACTGGGACCTCATCAAAATAAAAAGCTTCTGCAACAGCGAAGGAAACAGTCAGCAAAACTAAAAGGCAACCGACAGAATG